AATAGAGTAAAATAATAAATGTAATAAAGCAATAATAAAGTAAAATAATAAATATAATAATAATAAATAGAGTAAAATAATGTAAATGTAATAATAACAATAATAATAGAGTAAAATAATAATTTTAATAATAAATAGAGTAAAATAAATGTAATAAAGTAATCATAGAGTAAACTAATTTAAATGTAATAATAACAATAATAGGAGTAAAATAATAAATTTAATAATAATAAATAGAGTAAAATAAATGTAATAAAATAATCATAGAGTAAAATAATTTAAATATAATAATAATAGAGTAAAATAATAAATAACTTTGACTTGAGTATAAGTTGAGGGGAACTTTTTTCAGCCTAAAAAGGGGCTGAAAAACACAGCTTATCCTCGAGTATATATGGTGTGTTGACATGAGTGTTTAGATAATCCTAGCAGAGGGTCATCTGTGTGAGTCATTCACATTTTCAACTCCTGTCGGAAAATGTTCCCAGCTGTTTACCTGGCTCAAGTTCTAGTGTGACGGTACTTGAATGTCTAGTTACATATTAATCTTAGGAAGAATCAGGAAGCAAACAGAAACAAGCATTGTGGGGATCGAAATGGGAGAATCTGCGTGGAAAACAACCAGGGAAAATTGGTCTTGAAAGGACCCAGTAATTCATATCTACCTTGACTTTGTTTGGTTTGACTATGGCCGTGATGGCGAACCTATGACACGCATATCAGCACTGACACGCGTAGCCATTTCTGATGACACACAGCCGCATATAGAGAAACATATAGAGATGCATCTTTGGGGGCCCTGTGATCGCCATTACTAGCAACCACACAACCACAGCAACCATCATCCAATCTACTGTTCTGGGGTGTCGTGGATATCTAATTTACCATCATTACTGAAATAAGTGAGGGGGAGGCTGGGAGAGACAATGTTGCAACTCAGAGTAGGCTTCACCTTGCTCCCAAACACCACCACACAAGAGATGTAGATTTTGTAGTTTATTGAGGAAAAATCAAAGTCAAAGTATAGATTAAGCAATGCAAAGTTCCAAAGACAAAGGTTAAATGTAAAACACAGTTCCAAAGATCTTCAGGTAAGAGCATAAAACATAATCCTTTAAGCAATGGTCAAACAAGAGTAAAAACAGTGAAACAAAAGCCCCAAGAATCCCAATTCAGGAAGCCCAAAGCGTGCTGCTTTGAAGCCAGAGTTATTCCATAGAAGCTTTCATGCAAAAAGCCACGTTGAACTGACATCTTCCCTTTGTTAACCAGAAGCCTAAATACCTTTTGCCAACATGAAAACATTACGCTTTTTCCAACATGAAAGCATTACAGTGACCTTTCACTGACCTGGCGTCTTTCTTACTGGCTAACCGCGAACTCCTTCTGACCCGCCAATCTAAACGTTCTTGCCTGCTCTTTAAATCACCATCAAGGCTCTCTTCTCTATCAGTATCAGCGTGAGAAGGCTGAGCAAGTGAAGGCCTCTGCACCTGGTCATTATCTAATTCGCTGGCATACTTTTCCCATGAGAACTGACTTGTTGACTCCTCTGGTGCACTGTCTGAAATAGGCACAGAAAAAGGCATAGGAACAGGCCCAGAAATCTGAATCCCATCATCCTCTTCATCAGGATCACAAGAGGGTTCAGTTTCAGGCTCAGAATCAAGCTGAGCCACAACAGGCAAGGGTCTGTGATATGGGTGCCATTTCCCATCATTAGAAACTGCGGCAGCCATCTTAATTTACACTAAGCAGATAAGTTAAGTAATTAGTTTTTCTATTGTCAAAGGCTTTCATGGCTGGAATCACTAGGTTCTTGTGGGTTTTTTCGGGCTATATGGCCATGTTCTAGAGGCATTTTCTCCTGATGTTTCACCTGCATCTATGGCAAGCATCCTGAGAGGTAGTGAGGTCTGTTGGAATTAGGAAAAAGAGTTTATATATCTGTGGAATGACTGGGGTGGGGCAAAGGGCAAAGAGCTCTTCTCTGCTAGAGCTAGGTGTGAATGTTTCAACTGACCACCTTCATTAGCATTTGAAGG